CTTCTAGACAATTGTCACAGTAACATGACATGTTACGCAATATGATTTTCCCATCTTTAGATGTTTCTGCTCGATGTACGGCACGAATTCCTTTAATTGGCTGAAAGTTCTCTTCAAACCTCTGTATTTCGTCAACATGTCGAAATATTCTTCTTTTGCAAGCATGAGATCGAGGTGTCCTGAGATTAGCCTCTGCAAAATTAAATAGATCAAGCGCAGATCTTATCTGAGCTTTCCCGCGGATAACGGCCATATCAGCTTGGTTCTTAAGCAAACCTCCCGCTGCATCCTGTGGTCCTTTACCATGGCTACTTTCAAAATAATTTCGTATTATTTTCTGGTATCCAAGCTCGTCAAAAGATTGAACGAGATTTCCCAAACAGTTCCTGCTTTTATATTGGCTTTGGCACCCGTCGCAGAACTCGTGCATTGTAGACAGAGGGTAGTTGATGGACTGCAAATATTCAGATATGAATTTCTGAACACATTTTACAAAATGATGGTCGTGCTTTTCGTCAGGAGAAACAAGAAGAAAAATGTTCACAAATAATGCACGGGTCATCGGGGGTGCTTGATACACCGTCAACTTCTAAAATAGCATGTCTATAAATCAGGGAAATGTGAATGGAAACCTCAGTTCGTTGAAAATAGTTTGACTGTATTTCAATCCTCTCGGTACATCTGTAATTTTCCGAAAAATCATGAACAGTTAAACATTCGTTTTCCGGCAAGTTTTCGGCAAGATTTTTCAGTTGATCAGTTTGCCATTTCGCCCTGACATGATGACCTGGAAAAAAATCCAAAACCTTCTTAAAATACTTGATCATCTCACCGGACTTTGTAGCTTTGTCCACCAATGTCAGTTTCTTCTTGGTACCATTTTTTGTTTTAATGTCAACATACTCAAATTTTTTCCAATTTACATCTGTCGAGTCGTCCGACATATCTAATTCAGCGTCACAAAATTTCAGCAAATGAACGCCGCATTTTTCACAGCTTCTTTCTAAACAGTCCTTCACATGTAAATTTTCACCCTCCGTATGACACATCGTGTCTTCACATAATTCTGAAATTGTTCTGTAAACCTTAAATGTGTTTTCGTCCAGCAACCCATCGTTTGCCAACTGATTTCTACGTGCTTTTAAAGCATTGAACAAAAACTCTCTCTAGATGATACCTGCAGCAGCATGTTGTTCTATCCCTTTTCCTTGCAGAACGGACAAAATATGGCTTACATTTTTCAAAAGTTCTCTGTGAAATCTTAATTTCAGGGTAATGTTGATTAAAGGACATGAACAGTTCACTTTGTGTTTTTTCTAGAATTTGAATAGCATGGCTACAATAAGTTTTTGGAGCTATTCGGACACGCTTGACATCAGTTTTATTTCCAGTGTTTTGCGAATTTTCGGGTAGACACCAAAAATCATACACTGTTTTTTGCACTTCTTCAGTTAGTTTATCTGACCTTGTTTTCCTTTTTGTAAACTCAAAGGATGATTCTTCTGAATGCAGAACTCGTTGTCGGATTCGAACACCCTTTGAGATCCTTCTCACAGGCATTCCGAGTTTTCTCGCAAGGTCAACTTTGGCCCTAGATTTTTGAACTAATGGTCCTGATACATATGCAGCTAAAATGTCCACAACTTCCCGCGACTTATCACTCCGCTTAAATTTCACCGAATTCAAGAACGATTTCACATCCTGTACAACCGATTATTTCATTTCCAATTCTTTGCGTTCTTCCGGTGATGGTACAACCTTTCTGCGCTGTAGTTCCCTAACCGTGGGTGATTTCTTTGAGGACAAGTACGCCTTTACTGTTGCAATTCGTTTTACAGGTGTCCTGGGAAGTGCTTCCTTTAACCTTCTTATTGCTCGGGATTTACTCATTTTATTTTGAAATATTTGTTGTTCCTCTTTTGTGAGCGGAAGATTGTGTTGCGTGAGTATTTTTTTCTTTTCTCGCCATCGTCTGTTTCTCTGTGTTTTTCCTGCGTCTTTCTTCCTTCTGTAATTTTTCTTGAATCTGTTTACTCTTAAGGGTTGTCCTACTTTTCCGCTTTCTTTCTGCAGCTTGTTGTCTTTTTTCACTTTCTTCCTCTTTTTTCCGAGCAAGCCTCTCTCTTTGCTGCCTCTTCTTTACAGCCGCTTTAGATTGAGACAGCTCCTTTGCTGGTCTCAATAATTTTTGTTTTTGTTTCCATTTTCTCTTTTGTTCTCTGCGTATTTCTTCTCTCTTTTCTTTGATCGTTGAACAATGTGACATACCTGTACAAATTACATAATAGAAATTTTAAATTAATATTTTAAGGAACGATAAAAATAGATATCAAACAATATATTTATACATATGCCATCTAATAAGGAATGAAATTTGAAATTACTATTGAATGTTTCATAGACAATATAATGTAAAACAATATCATTTAAGATTATCTCCTGAAAGGGGGGGGGGGGGTTACGGAATGCTTTTCGATCAATTTTGATTAGGGTTTCTCTTTCAGTTCAGGAAAATGTTATTTACAAATTTTAAAAAAAGGTTTTTTTTACTGTTTATTTATTCTTTTAAAAACAAAAAAGCGTGTCATATTTAATTTCAATGTACATGTATAATCTGTCATATCGAATCCAGACAGTCGTAGGCACATCTAGTGTGGATTGTAAAAGGGTATAAGTAGAATTCACTCCGAAATATTTTTAAGCAAACGACTGAATACAAAAGAGAGAGAGAGGTCCTCCCTATACTATTTTTTTTTTGTTTTTTGAATGATAATAATGTACTTTATTTCTACAAGATTTTTTGTTCTCGTCTAATTTTTCTATCCTAATGTTATTTAATTTGTCACTTTTTACCCCCTCCCTAAACTTTTTAAAACCAATTGTGCATCTCTGTATGTATGGTAGTGAATCCAACAGGACGGGAGCGTTGCGGCTAGCAATTCAACATTAATAGGACCCTTTCCTATTTTTCTTAAAACACAGGAGATGAATTAATATAGGCCTTAGTTTTGTCGACAGGAAAAATTGAGCTGTCTTCTATATTGATTTTTTTGAATTGATTACCTTTTTTGAAAGCAATACATGAATATTTTTGATTCGCTCCTTTTACACTGTCTATGACAACTGTATACAATAGCCCTTTTAAACTGTTCATTTGCTACTATTCAGCAAAAATAAATACACTTGTGATCTAATATGAACAAAATCGTATTTGATTTAGATAGCAAAAATTTAATTTTCGGTAGTTGAATTTGATATGACGGCAACTGGCAATCTAAAAATTATGCAAACGATGTATTTTTCTCAGTTTCAAAATTTAAAAGTTTCTCCCATGGTTATACTATAACATTTGCTTAATTCTACGGACTATTCATGTGGATGTGCTCTGCACCCCCCCCCCCCCCCCCCCCGAAAAACCACCACCAATATTTTATCCAAAAAAAAACTAAACTTGAGAAAGGAAGAATTTATATACCTTCATAAAAGTGAGTATGTACTGATAAAATAGTAAATCTAAAAACTCTCACATCTCCCAAAGAGGAAAGGGGATGTAAAGGGGATGGGGACTGTAAAAACTGTCTGAGCAGTCGAAATATGAATGAATTCCCTATACTTCCTGTTATTTCGTGCCCCCCCCCCTTTTTTATACAAATTTCTGGGTTTAACAATGAATGTGTTGACGTGTCTTAATTAAGATGAATCCAAATCGTTAACATCTGCATTTCTTTCGTAGCGAGACGTCATAAGTACAGATCACGTTAAAATCCCGTAGGTGAGACAAATTAGTAGACCAATTTAAATTCTTCATTAATTCATTGAATATCAATGTAATCGCAAAGCAAAGAAATAGGAAAGTTTACTGCAGGTATATTTTCTCAGAAAATAAAGAGTTTTTTGAAAGCTTCTCAAGTTTTTGAGATAACTGCTCTCAAAGAGTACAAGTTCAATACTCTATCATTTAAAATTTCAGAGAAAACGTTAGAAACACTGTCGAGGACATTTGAGTATACAGAGTTTCAGTTAGAATTTCGTATCATGTTTTGAGGCAAAACACGTTTTTGAACCAATAAACAAAATGCAGAGCAGGAGATTATAGACCATAAGTACAACAATAAGAATCCAAATATAAATAAGTCTTGTATACTTGGACTAAAATGGGCTCGTTCGTATTGTCAGACGTCATGATGCCGTCAAATATTTCCTGTGACGGACAAGTAAAAACATGCAGAAATCCTCATTAGCTATTTTTATGCATTGAAATTCGTAAAATAATGTTTAAGCAGATACTTGATACGCTCCTTTCAGAATTAAATTGTGTATTTTAGAAGAAAAGTTTACGACGGACTAAAAAAATCAAACAATAAGGGTAATATGGAATCAATTGTTTAGAAAAAAACATGGCGTGACATAAGGGCTTTATATGGTATGATTTTCAAATAAATGCTAAAATGTTTGTAAAAAATTTAAAAATTAACAAAAAAAATTTTCCATGAACTCTTGTAAGCATCTTTTTTGGATATATATTTGTGTAAATCAAATTTCCAGTATTTTAAAAATATATAACACATTTCCATAAACACCCTTACCTGAATCGACTTCGAATTTATCCCCTGTTTTTTCCGCAGTCTACCATGTATCTTCTTGCGTTTACGGGCAAATTATCTCAAATCTAACGAATTTTACGTCAAATTACCTATGATGTCATAAAGACGTTGCTTTTTCCCGCCGACTGATGTAAAAACTATCAATATTACAATTTTATAAATCGCCCATATATGTATATAGAATTTGAGGGTATGCCTCAAATGTTACCAGTCTACATTGGTATTTATGTATAAATATCAAAGGTTTTAATACCTTAATGTAAATAAAATGAAAAAATAATGACATATTTCCGACTTTTAAGGAATTTCCATACCCGCATTACGTCACAAAATTGTAATAATATTTTCCGACCGTATTGACTCTTTTATTAGAGATCGTTCTTCATTTCCGGTTTCAATATGGAGCGAAATAAAAAGTGGAGGTTTGTAAAAAGGGCCATAAATATTAAGTAATCGCCTTGGATAAAGGCAGAAAATCTCGTTTTCCATCGGATTTTGTTCCTAATACGGCCGTACATATAGTTGACCACGATTATAATGTTTAAAGGTTAGAAAGTTGCGATGAACACGTTGTACATCATGTTGCTAGACAAGAAGATGTGACCACGGATAATTTAGACGATAGAGAATGGAGTATTGGAAGAAGAGTGGTAGAATTGGAGACCTTGGCTGATGCACTTAAAGCATGTTATCTTTGCAGTCAGCCATTACATCTCTTAAACTGTGTGGGTGAAAAAAAACTGGTTTAGCCCAAATTTTACTTGTGAAATGCCAATATCCTGAGTGTGGTTTTATAAATGATATACCATCTGGCACTAAACATGCTACAGTAAATGGTGGCCAAGCCTGGGATGTCAAAACAAAGTAAGCTGCAGGTATGTGAATATAATATATCCCTAACTTCATGTATAGTGGAATGGCAATTTTTTCCTTTACAGGCATGTTTGCCTTTAAGATCTAAATGTTGTTTTTTATTTTAGGAATAATTAATGGGGGTTTGGGGGAAACCCACATAAAGATATGCTTGCGGAATTAAAAATCCCAAACATAACACAAAAAAGTTGTTAATTTAAGGAATGTATTTTATTTTTGTGTGAATTATTGGTGTGTGAATCACACAGACATGTCACGTAGGCATATTTCATGAAGCGCTCTAGCGTGATTCACACACCAAGCTGAACAGGAAGTGCACCGTGTCCCCTAGCTGGGTGATTCACTCAAAAGCATGATATTACTGATATTGTTGACATTAATCAAATGATACATGTATTTTTCTATTTTCACTTTTTTGCCTTTTTTGAACAGGTGAAACCTACCAATCAAAGATTGCTTTTCAAGATCATGCTGATCTCCAGGACATTGTTTTGAAGCAAGACCAAGTTTCTCCAGATCATAGTCCACAATGATATTTTTTCACTTTTGGCTAGGTAAGTTTACTATTTTTTTCAGCTTGCAAATAGTTTCTTATTTGTTGGTATATGTAAATTTACATTTTTGCATTGTAAGTTCTAATTGTCTAAATTATAATTGTAGCCAGAACACCAGATATTCTACAGATTGCTGCGGTATCAGGGAATGAAGAGATGAATGTTCTATATGCGACCAACAACTCAGATTTGCCTTGAAGCTTCTGCGGCCACTCGGCTGGCATACATTGGTGGAGTACTAAAACATAAAGGACATCAGTCCCTCCAGAGGATGGTCTTAGATATTTCCTTGAGTTTTTAAAGAAATTTTTCAAGCCCATTTTAGTTGGCCACAATGTGCAGAATTTTGATGTCCCAGTCCCGGCCATGAATCAGCTGGCAAAATATGGTTTATTGGAACATTTCAAAGAAAATGTTTCTGGATTTCTTGATAGAATGGAACTTGCAAAAAAAATCCGGAAAAAGGGGATTGATGTAGATAACTATAAGCAAAAGATTTTAGTGAAATCACATCTTAAGATGCACACAATCACTTAAGCAACTCTACGAGAAAAAAAATATCTGATATATCATCTTCAAATGATGTGTTCGCTCTTTCATACTATGCATGCAAATCATCATTAGACACCTCAGTGAAGTCTAAGTTATTTCATCCCTGCCAAACATATTGAAAAATCTTGTTGATTGTTCCCTTAGTCTGTCTAGTATCAAAGCTGAGATGAATTCACAAATGTGACCCATACAATGGAATCGAGAATGTGTTCTGTGAACGTGCAGATGAAACAAAGATCCTGAGATTATCAAAATCCAAAAACATTATTGACAAAGTTGTGGCTTATTTGAATGCACAATGAGAACATTTACAAATGTGTAGTATGTATTTATTATTGATATGAATTTTAGAGATATCCCAGGTCCAGATATTGAGGGTAAAAAACATGAAAAATACCAGCGAGTGGTTGGGTCTTCCAACTTTTTTTTCTCAAAAATTCTTATTTGCTGAAAGGTTAAGGTCAAGGTCATTTGGGTCACTCTATAGATGTACCTCCTCATGTTTCACACTTCTTTAGTACATATAATGGATATCAAAAGAAAAGTTTCATGCAGGTAATTTTGCATTTTTTCTTTGAGTTTGAGAAAAAAAAAAATGGGGGGGGGGGGTTAAACAGCAGCCTGCACTGACTTTATCAATATGGAAAGGTATACATTTTTTTATGTTAATCAATTTGTTAGATGTTTATTTACTTACTTTAAAAAGAATTATTAGGTTTATACCCATATTTTTCTTATTTTACCTGAACTTGCTGATAATTTTCATTTCTTTTTTCAACTTTAGCGGAACAACATAAATGCTTTCTTTTTCATTTAAACATGTATATGTGACTGTATTGTTAAAAAAAATTGTGTAAAAATATTATTTCAGTTTATCTATTGTATTATAAGAGCTACTTTCTAGCCAATTAATTAGCAACCAACATAAAAAGTACCTCAGCATGAATTTTAATAAATTTGAAAAACAGACATATCTTGATCTCACTGATATACTTATTTAATGTGGCAATGTGCTAGTTTTACTTGTTTTTTGTGTTGCTTAGATATCCTACTTTTAGTATGAAAAACAAATTTGGGATTAAACCCATATAACTCTGAGTATGGAAAGACCTTTAAGATTTTCTAATTTATTTTGAAGCAGAAGGAAAATCAATAGAAAGCGTCACCAATACCTGCGTAACGTCATTACTATTGCATAAGCTCTTCTGGTCTCTGACCACTAGAGCGAAATAAAGAAAACAAAACAACGCAAGACGTCAACAACCGCAAATAACACAGACGCTAGAGCAAGCGGACCCTCTCAAGACAGCCAACCGTCGATTGATTACGACAAGCTGGCCGCGGCAAATCATAAAGCAAACTTTAACATATGTCCCTAATGCAGAGTCTATAATAACTTCGCCGTCAACTGCAATATGTCATTCCTTGCCAGCGAACCAATCTACTACAGCAGCCCAAACTACATCTACAACAGCACAGGCAACTGGATCTATCTTTGCAAGCTCCAACATTGGTGCCATAGTGGATCAAATTTTTTGTAGGTGAGCCAGCAAGGCAAACAATGTAACTCTCAATTATGGTATACCTCTAGGCTCTTCATTATCTCTGAAAACAACAACCAAATTTGGAACAATGAGTTAATAAATTTTAGAAATTTGTTAAATGCAAATGAAGATTTGCCAATTTCTCTTACACTTTCTGCTGGACTGGAGTGATCAACTTGCATCAAAGCCCAAAATATAAATATAAAACACCTATTTCACTTCCTCAATGGACAGATTGATTATATGTTGTTTAACGTCCCTCTCGAGAATCTTTCACTTACATGGAAACGCCATCACTTCCCGGTAGAGGGCTAAAAATTTTGTCCTATTCTCGGCACTCAGGGCCTTTGAGCAGTGAGGGATCTTTTTCGTGCCAGCACCTACTGCGACACGGGGCCTCGGTTTATACGGTCTCATCCGAAGGACCGGTCCCCACGTCCCACAGTGGGATTCGAATCCGCAACGTAAGGATTGACTCCTTACTTCGCGACTCCAGACCTGCCTACCCTTTTCATTGCAAGAGTGTAATTTTATTAAATTTTTGGTGGAATTTCAGAGGTAAAAGCGTAATCATGTTTTCCTAATTTGTAGTTTTACTAATAATACTTTATTATTCGTTAAAAACCCACTAAACTGAAATACATTACCTAACAAAGCTGGCATAAACTTTTCTTGATTTTTTAAAACATCTATTGGCAAATAAGTGTTGTAAAATACCAGTATCCTATATTTAACTCAAATTAATCATGCACCCTTAATGAAGCATTTACAAATTGTATCAAATCACTTACTGGAAGGCTTGCGTTTTTATGTTAACACAAACCGTACATAATAACACTGTACTTTATCTTTCTAACACTCACATCTCTCTTTCTTGTTCTAAGCAATGTTAAAATAAACTAAATTGAGCATAGAAATAGCTGTACTTATTGCAATATCATTTAATAGTTAACGTAAGTAGTGCCTTCTCGTGTTCTTCCGAAACTTCGCCATACCAGTTTACATGAAACAACTAGGTATATTACGTACGTTACCGAACTGGTCCTCTATTAATTACCTTGATTAGAACTTCTCATTTCATTTCAGCAGGTCGTACTTTCTAAATTTAGATGTTCATACATGTAATGGATTTTTAAAACCAAAACATCAAAAGCGTAAAATTAATACAAGTGGCGTAATAGCGTAATTTTGTGGTCAAAAGCGGAAGAATTACGCCAAAAGCGGAAGGGTAGGCAGATCTGCGACTCTAGAGCAGACGCTCTAACCACTGCGCCACGCGAGCGACCTCAATGGACAGATGCATTCCTGGTGTTTTCAGCTGTTATTTAAAAGTTTCCTCAACAAGTTCTCTAACTCCACAAATGTGGCCAAATGATTAGGGAAATGCAACGTTTGCATAGGGAAAATGCTTTCAGATCGTATGACAAACAGTTTAGAAAGCTCAAAAAAATAAATTATGTAAATTCACTAATACACCCAGAAAGTTCCACTGTTAAATATGACTCCATAGATGTTGTAACAGACCTGGTTAAACGATTTGGGGAGGGTTCACTAATGGCTAAGGCTGATATACAAGATGCCTTTCGCATCATACCAATTCACCCAGACGATTACAAACTGTTACGTTTCTCTTGGCAGGGTTGCTACTACTATGACAAATGTGTCCCCATGGGTGCAAGCAGATCTTGCCAAAGTTCTGAATTTCTCAGCTGCAGTCTATAGTGGTCTGTGTTTGAAAAGTTTAGGTATGTCACACGTGCTAGATGATTTTTTTTTCAGTGGACCAAAAAACTCTAATAGGTGCCATAGTGATTTAAACAAGATGTCCACGGGCCACATCGCTCACCTGAGAACATGGGCTAGTTAAAAAACATAAATCAGCTCAGTATTGAAAAATTTACTTGTTGGGGGAGGAGGGTTTGAATGTTTTATTACTTGAGAATGCCATTAAATCAATAAAACATTTATGTATAATTTTGCCACACTCGATAATAAGAGTTTTAAAGATTTTTCTTTTATGTTTCTATGTAAAACTTTGATTGCCTATTATGATCCCACCTTACCCCCAGGGGTCATTATATGAACAAACTTGAATTAACTCGGAGGATGTTTCAATATTAATATTACCAATCATTGCTTTGCGGTTCTTGAGAAGATTTTAAAAAGATTTTCCCTATGGAAAACTTTGATCAGCCATTGTGGCCACGCCCTACGCCCAGGGGTCATGATTTGAACAAACTTTAATCGACACTACCTGAAGATGCTTCTACGTGAATTTTATCTTTCCTGGTCCAATCTTTTTGGAGACAAAGATTTTTCTATATATTCCTAGATTTAAAAAAAAAATTCCTATAATATATTCCAATGTAAAATTTTGATCCGACATTGTGGCCTTGCCCTACCCCCAAGGATGATGATTTGACCAAATTTGAATCTACATTACCTGAGGATGTTTCAACATTAGTTTCATCTTTGCTGACCCAATGTTTTTGGAGACAACGATTTTTCCTACATATTCCTATGTTAACCTTTGATCAGCCATTGTGGCACTGCCCTACCCCCGGGGGTCATGAGTTGAACAAACTTGAATCCTCACTACCTGAGGTTGCTTCCACATGAGTTTCATCTTTTCCTGGCCCAACTGCTCTGGAGAAAAAGACTTTAAAGGATGCCATTAAGTTTTCATTAATTCATAATTATCTCCCTTTAAAAGAGGGATTGGCCTTTCATTTGAACATTCACCTAAGGATTCTTTGTAGCAAGTTTGGTTGAAATTGGCATAGTGGTTCTCGAGAAGAAGATGTTGGTGTTGAAGAAGATGTTGATCAGAAAAGCGTACTTGAGCCTTCGGCGTAGGTGAGCTAAAAACTTGAACTTGAACTCTGTGAGGAAACAGGTATTCCAATCAAAGCAGAAAAAACCAATCCCCCTACCACTTGCTTGATAATCTATGGGATATGAATGTCTTTCCTATTTCGCCTGCTTAACCTTGGGAGTTAGAGACCCTTTCTTTTCCATTCGCTTAAACTGTGAAGCTAGGGACAATCTTCGCATGTTGTCCTACTTTATTGACAATAAATTGGTTATCTTGCCAGATCTCTGGTCTTCCTCAAATAAAGAGGTTCCGGTTCTATAGG